ATCCCCAATTATTATAAATATGGGTTCTGTTCAATGTTAAAGAAAATGCAGAAATAATATTTTACTTGCCGAGAGCCTTATCAAAATATTTGAATGGCTTCAAAAAGATTATGGAAGTCTGTCAAATTGTATCTTCAGTCAGAAAAAAATAATCTTTGATTCCGTAGACAGTAGCACGTGCTAAATGGTGGATTATAATTACAGGAGCTGGTATTTCTTGTAGTGGAGGAATACCTGTAAGTAATTGCTAATTTATTTTTTTTCAATGCGTTTTTCATTAGTCAAGACATTAATATTTTTTATAACTATTAACCAATAGGATTTTAGTAGTTCAAATAGTCTTTATAATATGATAAAAAACCAATATCCGGATACCTTTCGTTCGGGCAAAAATTTATTTGACACTTGCTTACTTAGAACCCATGAAACTATTAAAGTATTTTATCTTTTTATTGGTGTATTAAAAGAATTAATTGCAAAGGCTAAACCTACAGCCGCCACTTTTTTATCAAAAAATTGGCCGATATGAAGAAGTTAAAAAGGGTATATACACAAAACATAGATAATCTCAAAGAATTGGCAGGATTAGATGTAGATTGGCAATTTGAAAGGGTTAAAAATTATAAAGCATAAGTAGTTGATTTACATGGAACTTTGGCAAAGTTACAATATAACATTTGCACAAAATATTTATTAGTCTAGACTGCAATATTGTGATATTTTCAAAAAAGGTGAAACGCTAAATTGCCCTGAATGTCAAGAAAAAGGTAAATCCAAAGGATATATATTACTAAAATATAACCTCCATCAATTTCTGCCCAAAGTTGGTTGTTGCCTTTATTTCTATTCTGTTACATCAATTATATTTTAAGTTGGTTAACGATTAATTATTATGCTATAATAAACAGAAAATGATAGGGTCAAACGAGGACAACGATCACATCTTATTGGACAACTGAAACCACCAATAATTCTTTATGGTGATTCACATCCTAAAGGATTAGAAATTGGTCCATTTGCAGAACAAGATCAAGATAAAGCTGATTGTTTAATAATAATAGGAACTTCATTAAGAATTCTTGGAGTAAAAGCTCTTATAAAAGACTTTGCTAGTGCGGTTCATGGCGTAATAGTTATGTGATGTTGGTTAATGATATTGATGTAGTTACTAAAGAATGAAAAGGGATTATTGATTATCAAATATAAGGTACCTGCGATGAGTGGGTTAAATTAGTTGATGATCAAATGTTGAAAGAATGAGAACCATGAAACTATTAAAAAGAAAAATTGGAAGAAAGAAA